AGCTATATCAAGTTGTAAGCAAGAAGGGCAAACCCTATTCATGTTATTTTCAGAAGGATCAGGCTGCAAGGTGCCTCCATGGTGCTGGGGCCACTGGTCAGGGGGCCCGTGGTCGCCCTGGGCAAAGAGAGATACCCCTGGAGTCCACAGCTACTGTTCTGCACTGGCCAGTGGGCCATGCTGAAAACATTAATGAACAATATCGTTCATCAATTAGCTACGTTCATTGATCCTTTGGAGGGACGGAAGATGAGCCAGAAGAGTGGGGCCTGGGGTGGGTGAGCCCCAGGTGACCTGGATCCCAGTCCTGGCCCCACTCCTAATGCGGGGGTGGGGGGTCCCTGTGCAGGTGACTCACTGCCTCTGATCCTCAGTTTTCTCATGCACGGACAGAGGTGATGGAAGGGCCTGGCTTGCTTCCTGGTTCAGGGTAGGCAGACCACTGCAGGGCACAGTGCAGTGCTGGGCTCAAGTGCTAGGCGCATGTTTGTGGAAGGGATGGATTTCATACCCAGCGTTCAGAGCAGCCTTTTAAAAGGGACATCAGAGCTTGTCACTGTCCTTAAAACCCACTAGTGTGGTAAGGGTCGAGCTCCTTTCCATGATCTGACCCTTGGCCATCTCCCCTCTCCCCTTCGCTCTAGCAAACCTGCTCATCTCTCAGGTTCCCCAAACCTTCCATGTTCTCTTTGCACATGCTGTTCCCTCTCCTGGGAATGCTGTTCCATGCACTCACTCACAGCCAGCGCTTTCTTGCGCTTCTGGCCACAGCCTAACAGTCCCCTCCTCTGAGAGCTCCTCCCTCACCACCCCCATCCCTGGTAGTCCTTGCGGTGTTGTGTCTGAGGAATATTTAGCATTTTGCCGCAAGATATTCACTTATACATGTTTCCAGTCTTTCCACTCTAGGAGGGCAAGGACAGAGAGGCCCTCTGCTGTGGTCAGCAAATGACCTGGCACCCCGTGGGCATTTATTCCATACCTGCTGGAGTAGCAAAAGGAAGAGGGATCTCCCCCAAGTTCAACCGAGTTCAGCTCCAACACATCTAACATTCCTCAATTTTTATCCCAGCTTAGACACCACCTCCCCCAGGAAGCCCTCCCAGACCAGCCCACTATCTCCTAGACCTTCCATCCCCCGGAATGAATACAGTTGCTAGCTTCTACCCTGGCATAAACTCCTGAGCTCACTGGTTTATTTTAACCCTCTTATCTACCCCTGCCTTCTCAGTCCAGTTCAGTCCCTCAGTTGTGTCCGACTCTTTGCGATCCCATGGACGCAAAGGAGGCAGCACCCTAGGCCTCCCCATCCATCGCCAGCTCCCGGAGCGTGCTCAGACTCATGTCCATTGAGTCGGTGATGCCATCCCACCAGCTCTCTCTCAGGACAGAGCCCACATTTAATCCTTTATTTCCTATCTTGGGGATTCTTAGAGTTGATACAGCAATTGTGCAGTGGAAGGAACAGATGTTTGAGGTTTGAATCCTATCTCAATCCCTTTGTAGCTGTGTGACCTTAGGCAAGTTACTTCAGGTCTCTGTGTCTCAGTTTTCCCACCTGTAAAATGGAATCAGAATTCCCACCACAGAGGATAACTGTGAGGATAAGATCAGATAACGTCTAAGAAAGGGCACGAGGCAGCTACTCAAACCACATTTCTCTGTTTTCTCCTCTGGCCTTTCATTGTTACTAGGAGGGGTTTGCCCAGAAAATATTGTCTCTGTGGGGAGTGGGGCAGAGGCACGTCTGTCTGTCCATCCGTCTGTCCACTATGATTGTAACCAGGAGGTTTTACCTGCCTTCTGGAGATGTGGTTAGTAAGAGATTGTTACATCATTACTAACTGTTCTTGTTTCCAATCCAACCTTTACACAAAAGGGATTAGCATTTCATGGAGCTGTTTATTTAGCGAACACATCTTTTGTAAGATCTTCTGTAACCGTTTACAGGAAAAAGAAAATCAAATGCCATTGTAGCAAGCTCAGAAATTCCCCACTGGGCCAAGAGAGAGCATAACATGCAATGATTTGATTAGGAATTTGGAAAAGAGACTCTATTTTCTAGAACTTGGCTTGGGACTTGGTCCGTGTGTGAGTGCTGGATGCATGTTTCTGGGGGTGGAAACACAAGACCTGGAAGGGGGACTGCACCCCAGGAGGATTACCTCTCTTCCCTTGCCCTCAGGTAGCCTGATGAGCCCTTGGCCACCCCCGAACACCCAGAAGGGTGAAAGTTGGTAAAGATGCTTGGATGGTCACTGCCAGATGGAGCACCCCCCACCCAAGGAGGTTACAACCGATGAGTGGAGCCATTCTGTAATGAGGGTAAACCATCCCCCACACTCCATGCAGTGGGAGGCTTAAGAGGAAAGGCAGGTGGTGTCTGCTTGCCCTGGTCCACAGGACAGGATTTTGTCATCACTTGAGCATGCAACTTCCCTGAGTTTCTCTGGATGTGCTATTTCTTGTGTGATACTTATACATTCATCTCTCCAGCTAAGGCATATTTATAAAATATCTCCCATGTACCTGACAACTGATTCGCCAATGAGAAAACCACTGTGCAGAGAGGGCAAGACTTTTGCCCAAAGTCACCTCCTTTCTTAGGGGAGGGACTGAGGGTCTGGGGAGTCAACAACCTGCATAAGGCTCTGTGATGATAACCACTGAGCGGCTTGGTCCCGGGAGAACCTGAAGTTCCAAGGGTCAGCACCCTGTCTCCTCTGGCTTCTCTGGGCCTGTTTTCCAATCTGTAAAAGGAAGTTGTTGGATCTGATCTCTAGAATAAGGAGTTAGCACACAGGAAGTGCTTAATACCTCTCCGGGTCTCCTGCTACCCCGAAGAGAGTGGATTTCCAAGAGTGTTGAGCCAAGGGGGAGACCAGCTAACCCAGGCTGAGCAGGAGCTGTTAGCCGTTGCTCCGGCGGTCCCAGCTGCCTGCATCCCTTGGCCCCAGGCGGACTGGGATGCTGTTTGCCAATTTGCTGTCTAGGCCCAGCCTGACTCCGGACAGCTCCCTGGGGGACAAGGCAGCGGCAGTGCCCCCAGCCCCCACCCGCCCATGCACAGCCATTGAGAGTTAACGGCCGGCCGAACTGCGCCCCTGGGGATGGAAGGGCAGGCGGCTGGGTGGAGGGCTGTGAGGGGGGCTGGAACCAGCTCAGAGTCACTCCCTGGAGAGGTGGGGGGGGAATGGGAAGCCCATAAACTTCTCCTGGGCTATTAACCCAGGAGAAAAATGGGAGTGGTTGGAGAAATGGGAGTGGGCTGGGGGGAGTCTCTGTGTAATCACAAAAGCTCCCCTCCAGGAGAAAGCACCGTCCGTGGGCCTGGCCGAACACCTTTTCGAGATGGATGCACAGGCTCCTCCCAAGGACCTGCGAATTGGGCTCTCACAGCTCAGCGTCACAGATGAAGAAACTGAGGCACAGAGGGGGCAGTGACTTGTCCAGGGTCACACAGCCATGAGGTGGTGGAGCGACTTGCTCTGTTCCAACTGCCTGTGCTCTCCTCCAGCGGGGCATGGGAGAGGTGGCCGTGGTTCCCTCTGAGTGAGGGCTTGAGTCCCCACTGTTCCCGTAACTAGCTGCATCATCTTGTTAAGTCTTGTTAGTTTAATCATCTTGTTGGTTTAATCTGGCTAAGCCTTGGTTTTCTCATCTGCCAAACGGGCCTAACAGTGCTCGTTTCATAGGTGGTTGTGGCACAGGGCAGGCAGGCAGGTACTAAAGCGTTAAGAAACCGTCAGCTATTATTTTTGTTGTTGTTATTCTGCCTTCTGTTTATGCTGTTTAACATAAGAAAACATCCCTGAATCCCTATGAAAAGGAAAGGCTGAACCCTTCAGGATTTCCCCAAGATCATATAGCAGGCAAGTGACAGAGACGAAATTGTCATTTAATCTAACAACTCTATGCAGTGGGTACCGTTTCTGTGCCCATTTCATGGAGGGGGAAACTGAGGCTCAGAGAGGTCCACACAACCAGAGAAGCTGGGATTCTGACCCCAGAGCCAAGCTCCTGATTCTAGTGTTGCCCCCAGTCCACCTGCCAGGGTTTAAACCCTTTCAGCACAGGAAGCCCAGAGGTCTTCTTTGGTTGTGGGATCTTGGGGAAAGCATTCCACTTTTCTGAGCCTCGTTTTACCAGCTGTACTATGGGGGCTCATCAGAGCAGCTCCTCAAGCTGGGCATACAGTAGATGCCCACAAACTGCTGTGTGTCTGGCACACATCTAGGCCTCCAGCCCCACCCACAGCAGCCTCTCAGCAAACCCTAGTTTGAATGCATGGCCTCATTCAGGTCTCTGAAGGCAGTCTCCAGACCCACAGCCTTCTGGAAGCAGTCGCCCTCTAATTGGGGTCTGTGGTCTTCCCCAAAGGCACTGCTGGTGAGTTGCAGCGGCCCCGGGAGGCCAGACAGCCCCTGGGTAAACAGGGCTGATCCGAGGTGACAGCCTGCTCTTCTCAGGCCAGCCCCTGTCCTGTCCCCACTCCCTCATCTGGGCCGTGCCCCCTCCACCCCGGGATGCAGGGCGCTTGTCTTGGGGGCAGGGCACTGGGAACCGGATGGGCCTTCAGTGGCTCACGGAGGAGAGAGGCTGAGGATTCCTTCTTTTTCTTCTCCTCTCTCCCTTCGCTGATGACTTTGAACAAGCCCTTTCTCCTTTCTTGGAGGGCATTTCCTGGAGGCCTGTTAAGCCCACTGGAGGAGAAGCCATAACTACTATTGTCATCTCAACAACCAACCAGATGCCCAGTCTCTCTCTCACCCAGGAGGGGACTAAAGACTGCAGGCTTTCCATGGTCCCACTGCCCCCAGGCCGCAAGTCACACACCCTCAGAGAGACACCACCTTTGAGACCAAGATCTTCTAGTTCACCTGCAGAACCACAGAACTGAATGAAACCATAGTTCTTGGGCAGTTTCAGAAACCATAGCCAGTGCATAAACACTTCAAACAATTCAAAAAGATGTCATTTGTTATTGTCGAAGCCCTCACCTGTATTCCTGTGTAGAGGGGTGGTGATTTTGCCCTGAGTTTCGAATAATTCCTGACATCATGGATGAGATGTCACTTTCTATCATCTCCTTGGGGAAAAGACAAGCAGAAAACAAAACTTCCATCAGCAACGATGTGGACAGGACGGAAAACTCATAGTTTTCCCACAATTCAGAAGGCTAGAGCTCAACCAACAGAACACTTGAAAAGTACTAGAGGATTCCTGGGAGTCACAGGTCACTTTTCCAGGGCAATTCTACAGGGTTTTAAAAGCAAATGAAGAGAATGGAATGAAATTCCAGGCTCTTTCAAATTAATGGGGGAAGGGCAAAGGAAGTCTCTAGAAGCCAAATGTCAAGTTCTGGAAAACGTGTACTTGCAAAATAGGAATCAGAAAAACCTGATTCTCTTCCAAGCCTAGTATTGTCAACCACAGCTCAGTTATGACCACTTTGGAAAAAATTGAAAAGGACAGCCTGATGAGTCATGGACGTTTCTCTGGGGGAGTCAAATTCCCCCTTGCAAAGGGAATAATCTCCGCAGAGCTCCCACCCTGGAAATGGCTTCAGGAATGTCACATGCCCTTGCTGGGAAACCAATCTAACCCCCCACCACTACCACCGCCACTCCACCCTCAGCCCCCCACCCCCGCTACACACAAATAGAGCCTTTAAAAGAAATCTCCCTTAAGGTTCCCAAACTCTGAGCCTGAAACGAACACAGAAACCCACTAGACTCTCAGATCCGCCCCCAAAGTCATCAAGGATTCTTGGAAAGGAGGAAAGGGGAGCAGAGAGAGGCAGCCCCCCGCAGCCCCTGCCCCGAGTCTCCCCCCTCCCAGGAAATGCAATGCCGGGCACTGCCCGGGAAGAGGGAAGCAAAGCCGACCGTGCAAGGCGGTACCTGGAGCCGATCCTGGCTGGGCCGCCGCCACAGGCGCTCCTGGGGCGGGACGGGGTTTCCGAGGGGGGGCTCCCTCGCGCTCGCCCCTCGCGTTCCGCAATTTGGCCGCCGTCGCAGCTCGAACCGTTTTTAAATTTCCCTCTCTGGAGCTGTCCAGCTCAGAGCATGCGCAGTAGCTGTGTAGGGGGGCTTTTCCCCAAGGGGTCAGTTACAGGGCAGGGTCAAGGGGATTGCAGCGGGCGTTTCCCAGCAGCAGCGAATCTTGCACGCCCCGGGGGCTCCGGGTGGGGTGTGGCGCAGGCGGTAGGGACACCCCTGTTCAAACTTTGTCAGCAGTGGCCCCCAAACTGCACGCTCGCGAGCATGCGTTGAGGAGCAGTGAGTGGGAGGGTGGTTTAGGCCCAAAGAATTAAGTTGCAAAAGGATGCTGGGTGCATTAAAAACTTGCAGTCCGTCACAGCCCAGGGGGAAAGCAGATGGGTGGGTGTGGAGATCTGTTGCAGCCCCCTCTCTCTCCCGCAATGGGTGTTTGTGTTGGGGGGGGGGGCGTCGGGGAGGGCGGTGCGGAGAAGCCAGGAGGCCGAGTCGGGGCCCCAGGTAAACACGGATTCAGGCCACCTGTCTCTTTAAGAAAGTTGCGCCCTCGCGGATTGGCGCGGCGCGCGGCCGGAGAGGCCAGCGGAGTCCGGAGCGCTCAAGCCGGGCGCCTGCACCTGCTGGAACCGCTAGGGCGGGGTACCCGGGGTCCGCCAGCCCCCGTCCCGCGTGGAGAGTGAGTCGGGCCGGAGCGAGCGCGGCGGATCCCTGGGCCCGGCCGGCGGCGGGTGCGGTGGAGGCTGCGGCGCTCGCGGTCCCGCGCGACCGGCGGAGCCCAGCAGAGCGCAGCCGAGCCGTTGGCGGCCGTGGCCCGCCGGTGCGCCCGCGCTCCCGCCTTCCCCGCCGCCCGGCCCGCGCCGCCGGCTGCCCCGCCCCGCGCCCGCCGCGGGAAAGGTGGCGCGGGCCGCGGGCGGCGGGGCTCGAACGCGGACAAAGGTCTCCCCAGCCCCTAGGTGGAGCTTGAGTTTGATCCTCCGAGGAAGTTTGCGTTTTCGGCCAGACTCGGTCTTGGGCCTCTGTTGGAATAATTTGCAATGGGTAAGAACCCGCCTGCCGGTGCAGGAGACGCGGGTTCGATCCCTGGGTCCGGAAGATCCCCTGGAGGAGGGCATGGCAACCCACTCCAGTATTCTTGCCTGGAGAATCCCCATGGGCAGAGGAGCCTGGCGGGCTACAGTCCAAGGGTGACCAAGGAGTCCGACAGGACTCGGAGACGTAACAGTAATAATAGTCACAGTCATCCTTTATCTGCTTGTTTCTGCCGCCTGGTTTATTCTTCACACCAGCGCCTTAGGGGACAGGATGGTTCTCTTGGGGAAACTGATGCTCTGAGCGGCAATGAGTGGATGAGGGCGCACGGGCGGAGTGGGGATTGGAACCTCGGCCCCCGCGACTCCACAGCACCTGCCCCCGAGTCTGCGCCTCTGGCGGAGTCGGGCCGGGCATCCCGTGCTTCCTGGGTTTCTGGAGGCTGTATTCACGTGATTTGTTTGTCCCGAAGCGGCCAGGGGAGCCGCGTCTCCGCACCCGTGTCCGGGAAGTCTCTCCGACCCTCTGTTTACTTTTAAGAAGGAGCCGGAGCTCTCTAGGCTGGGTGTGCCTGGGTGTCATCTCTCACTCAGGTGGGCTGTGATCTTGGCCGTGCTCCATGTCCCGAATGTTTTCTTGTAGCACCTGGGCGCCCTTGCTTCATTCTTCTCTGCCCGGAGTAAATAGATCAGCTTGCATTCTCTGGGGGTGGGGAGAATGTAATTTAGATACTAGTTAAGGTCATGGTCATGAAACCTCTCAGTTTTCATCCCTTCGACACCTGCATGTATTGAAAATATGTATTTTGACCAGTTCTAAAGATGGTTTACATTGCTTTCAATGTCCCCGAATGACCTACAATTAGTTCAGAAGTCAAGTTGGAAGCATTCAAAGCATTTGGGTTTATTTGCATCAATCCTTAAAGGAATTGTCAGTAAATAGTGTGTGTGGGGGGAGGGGGGCAGTTTGAGGGAGTAGAGGTAGTTTGACAACCTTCTTTTGAAGTAACAGTCCTTTTCATCCAGGTATAATTTTATATCTTTAGGATGGTTTGGAAAGGAAGTCTCTCTTCTGAAAACTGGCAGATTCAGTAAAGCTTTTAAAATAAAAGGCAGACAATCTTGAGTTTCTGCAGACTCATGCACTATGGGAAAAAAGGAGCAAAGACTTCTCCCTAAAAGAAGATAGTTGTTTAAGTTAGAGATTCAGGATGTCCTGGGCAGTTCCTTGGAATCCCCTCTTCCTCAGGAACTTGACCTCTCTGCAGGGGTTTTGGTTGGCAACTATCGTTTCCCTAAAGACTGGAGCTTTTGAGTTCTTTGCTCCAGGATTGGTTGGTGGAAACATTGCCACTCAAACGCCTACTGTTAGAGTTATTCAGAAAAGCTAGGTAACTTGGCAGAAATCCTTCTTTTGTTAGGTTAATGTATCTTCTCCCTTTTATAAATGTATGGTGATTCTCAAACCTGCTGGATTAGAGCAGTCACCTAGGGTGAAATTAGAACCATAAAAGGGAAGAACAGGGGATCCTCTAACAAGACCTTCTGGTAATTCTTTGATGGAGTGTGCGCACCTGTACCTGATGATCTCACTGAGTTACATAAAGATGACTGATTCCACCCTTTTTTTCTTTTTTGAAAGAATGTGAACTTCACCTGCTTCCATGGCTATATGGCCCCTTATCATTTGCTTCTGGTTACCAAGAACCTCAGATCGATTCTGATTTTGCAAGCGGACCTGCTTCCCTGCTAGCAAGATGTCCCAAAGCCTCAACAGTCCTCTGACTACCAAGAGAAGGCAGAAGAGAGCAAAAACAATAGGTATGCACGTGGCTTCTCTCTTGCTCTCTGGTTTGACGTAGCAGAGACTGTTTCAACTTGGGCCAGTGTTTCTGAAGTTGTGGTAGTTGAGCAGTATATTATTTGCCTGGTCTGTTCAGAGCTTGGGTACCCACGACTATGTAAGAAATGTTTGTTTGTGATGTTGATTATGAGCTTAAAACCAACTCCGTCATAGCTGGAAAGACCAGTTCCTCACAACAGTGTGTAGGAACAGAGTTGGTATGGGAGGATTAAAAACTACTCAGCAAGCTTCCCCGGTGGCTCAGTGGGTAAAGAATCCGCCTACAATGCAGGAGACCTGGGTTTGATCCCTGGGCCGGAAGATCCCCTGGAGAAGGAAATGGCAACCCACTCCAGTATTCTTGCCTGCAAAATCCATGGACGGAGAAGCCTGGTGGGCTACAGTCCAGGGGGGTCACAAGAGTCGGACACGACTTACCAACTAAAACCACCAGCAAGTTTAAAACAGGTTTTGTTTGACCAAGTAGCAATTCCATATTGTTACAGACTACGACTGCTTCTTTCTACTAAGCTCTTGACTTTTGCTTTACTATTGTTCTGATTTTCTGGCAGTGAAGGGGCAAGGGGAACGTGGTCAGAGATAGATGATCTGTAGCAATAAATAATCACTTCTCTTTCTCCTACTCTGATTCACTGATTGGCATAGTGAACCACGGGACATGTCCACGAAGCAGAAATATCAAGGTTTTTTTTCAGGTACGATTATATTAGAACAACCCCTCCAGGCCACAGCACCCAGGCCTGTATCTGGCACACAGGATGCTTATAGGCTTAAAAATTTTTTTCTTGCTTCATCTATTGCCAAAAAACAAAAACAAAAACACCTAATCAGGTGGTATTTTCTTAAGAAAGTTTTCAATTGAAAAAGCACACCCAGGGTTCACTACCGAAAGTTGATGCTGCCTCTTACAGTAGTTTCTGGTCCTCATTTCCTAAGAAGTCGGTTCCACGGCACCGTGAAGTGCCTGTTTGATGTCTAAACACAGCTTCCTCAGATGGGGAGGACAGAATGGGTTTTTTTTTTTTTTTCCTGTGGGAGACCATGAAAGTACCCTGGCTGTTGATCTCTTTTGCTCCTGTTAGCATGACTGATATGTGTATTATGGTTCTTTGGGAGCATGTTTGTAGAGGAACTGCTGCTTATCATTGTTGGCCTACGTCTTATTTAACAAAAGGATGCTAAACCCTTGGATGTT